GGGGAGGGTGGGGGTGGGGGTGGGGGTGGGGAGTGGGAGGCTTCCCGATACTCCTGGTGGAAATACAGGTGCTTCTGGGGCTTCCATCCCACTGTGCTCTCCCAAGTGGTTACCCTGAAGGCTGGAGTGAGCCTTAGCAGCTCTGCTGGCATCACACCCATCCTCAGGTGGTACTGGGACTGCCCTTCCTGCTGGAGAACCCCATTGGCTACCTCTCCCGCTCCTTTGACCTTGGCCGTCAGTTTCTCTTCCAATGGACAGTGAACTGGCGTTTCCTTCCCGAGGCCATCTTCCTGCATCGGGCCTTCCACCTGGCCCTGTTGGCTGCCCATCTCACCCTCCTCTTGCTGTTTGCCCTCTGTAGGTGGCACAGGTAAGAAACAATGGTTACTGTCATGGGGAGATTCAGGGGATGGAGTGAGGAGCTTAAGGCCTCAGAGCTACTTGGGGGAGATGTACAGTTCATGGTGGTGGATCTGGAATTTGGCACACAATTGGGACTTGCTAAATGTCTGAATGACTTCTCTTCAGAACGGGGGAAAGTATTCTGTCGCTGCTGAAGGATCCTTCCAAAAGGAAAGTTCCACCCCAACCCCTCACACCTAACCATATCCTTTAAATCTTGGAAAGGTAAATTGTGATCTGTCCAAGTGCAGATAGAGGTGTAGTCTGTTGGCCTCAGATGGCCAGCTGCTCTGGAAGAGACAGGAAGGAGTCCATTATAGAGCCTGCTCTCTGCAGTGAGCACTGCACTGAGTACCTTAGACATCTCAGCACAGGTTATTCCTAACTCTACATACGGGCCAGCACTGTGTGTGCACGCCCTCCTCTTGGTATTATCCTAAACGTCCATACCTCCTAGCCTCTAAATCCACCTGAGTTGGGGAGGTGCTCAGATTAATTTTACCGAAGGAAGCATTCCTGTCGCCCTACTAAACTGAGGAACAGATCAAGAGGGGCTAAGAAGTTTGTCCGGGGCATGCCTGTGCGAAAATGGCAGAGCCAAGGTAGTTGCTTTCTGACCCCAGAACTTTTGCCCCTCTGTTTGAATCCTATCCACTGCCACCCCTCAGTTCCTGCCTAAAGCCTTAACCCCATATTACAGATCGTTTCCACCCTGTTCACCTCCAACTTCATTGGCATCTGCTGTAGCCGTTCCCTGCACTACCAGTTTTATGTCTGGTATTTCCACACACTGCCCTACCTCCTGTGGGCCATGCCTGCACGCTGGCTCACACACCTGCTTAGGTACTGGCTGGGACAACCTGGGAGAGTGGGAAAGGGCTAGGGAACTCCTCCTCCCAAAGTTGTGACCCTAGAAGGGGATGGTGGGTGGGTCTAGGGCATGAGAAGTCCAAGAGCTTTGGGCCTTGAAACAGATAAGATCCATTTCTTATTCCCAGGTTGCTGGTGCTGGGACTCATTGAGCTTTCCTGGAACACGTACCCATCCACATCCTTCAGCTCTGCCTCCCTGCACATATGCCATGCTGTCATCCTGCTGCAGCTCTGGCTGTCCCCTCAGCCTTTCCCCAAGAGCATCCAGCCTAGCAGGAAAACTCACTGAAATCCCCCTCATCCTACTAGGACCTGCCCAGGATCGTGGGTGGAATAGACTCTGTGTTCTTAGAATAAACCTTGCCAAGTCCACCTTTGTGCAGCCTACATAAAGGTGGTGGTTGCTCGTGCCTAGACCATCTTGTGCCTAGATGCTATGAGGCACGTCTTCCCAACAGATTAAAAACTCATCAGGGGCCAGGCGGTGGTGGCCCACACCTTTAATCCCAATGGACGAAGACGAAGGAGGATCTCTGTAAGTTTAAGGCCAGCCTGGTCTACAGAGTGTGTTCTAGGACAAGCCAGGACTGTTTTACAGAGAAACCCTGTCTTGGCAAAACCCCCCCCCCCCAAAAAAAAAAATCAGGCAGTCTTAAGAGGCACTTTATTGCATAGGATTTGGGGCTGTAGCTCTCTCCTCTTTCATTATCCTACAGAGAGCTCAGAGCACATGGGAGGGGGTATGATGAGAGAGAGAGAAGAGAGCACAGGCAGGCACTTTCTGTGGTGGCGAGGGTATTCTGGGGGAGGGAATGAAGCAGTGGAGGACAGCAGACACCAACTTTTCTTTCCCAGCACCAAGAGATTGGCCCTGGGTGGCAGTGACTTTGTGTTGGGGGTCGCTAGCCAGAGTTGCAGGCAGCCTTATACATTTGCAGGGCTGTAACACAGCAAGTGTAGCTGCAGATTCTGGTCCCAGTGTCTCAGTAACAGGAAGAGCCCCCTGGCAGCAGCTTTGAGAGCAGTCAGATCAAGGCCATCAGGCAGGTGTTGGGCCCTCAGCCAGCAATCAGCTTTGGATGCTGTTAGTTCCCACTCACCAAAGGCAGCTGCACAGCGGTGCTCCAGCCATGCCAGAGCCACTGCTGTGGCCCAACTGCGGCCCCGCAGATCAGAGCTGCCCTGCCTTTCCATTCCTTCTGAGACTTCAGTATCTGAGCCCCGTCCACTGTCCACTTGGCCTGGACCCTCAGAGCCTGAGCTGGGGGACTGGCTGCAGGAGGCCGTGGCACTGTCGCCTTGGCCAATACCAGGGCCCAGAAGTGCCCAAGGAGATGAGGCTGAGGTGGGGCTGAGGCTGGCACGGTGTGCAGCAAAGGGTGAGGCTCGGCACAGACGCTCTTGAGGAATGCACACAGCGGCACAGAAAGGTTCATCCAGGCGGAAGGAGCCTGGTGCCTCTTGCAGTCGCACCTGAGGAGAGAAGAGGTGGGGGGAGAGGGGAGCTAAGACAGCTCTGGCTCCAGAGGTGCCACCCTCCACCTCCCCAGTCCTCACCAAAGGCAGATAGTCATGGTTGCTTCCATCACTGCCGCTTTCACTAGCCTGGCCCTTGTTAGAGCTGCAGAGTCTGCGATGACGACCCAGGCTGAGCCTGGAAGAGGCTGAAGGCTGCCGAGGCAAGCCATGATGACCACCAGTAGGAGAGATGGGCTCCCCCAATGCTGACTTGGAGTTGTCATCTAGATCCAGGTTCCAGGCACCTGCAGAAGAGCCTCCCTGATGCCCTACAGTAGGGTCACCCAATACCAGCAAAAGGCCTCAAGCTTACTTGTGCCCAACCCACTGCATTTGAGCCATACCTTTAGAGTGGGCTGCTGTGGGCAGAGGAGTTGCAGTTAGATGGTCTTGAGAGGCAGAAACGCCTGAGAGCTCAGCTGGATCTGCAGGAATACAGGAGTCAAATCCCACTGGGTAGCCAGCAAGGTCACACCCTCGAGGTCATCAGGGAAGGCTAGTACCTGAACTCCACACCTGTAGGCCTCCAGGCAAGACCTCCCTGGTAGAAGCATCTACAGCAACAGGGCAGGTGAAGTGGGATGGGGCAGAGCTGGCCTTGCTCGTCTGCACGGCCCGTAGCCAGGACCTTCTGACTCGGCCTGTGAATCAAAGGCAGCAGCATGCTCAACTCCATCATCTGTAGAGAGCTGCATAAAAAACACTGGGAAGCCGAAGGTGGCCCTATCCCAGCACTCAGAAGGAACATCTGAGGGGGCTGGAGAGATGGCTCAGTGGTTAAGACTGTTCTTCCAGAGGTTCTGAGTTCAATTCCCAGCAACCACATGGTGGCTCACAACCACCTTGAATGGGATCTGGTGCCCTCTGCTGGCATGCAGGCAGAAGATTGTCTAGACTGTATAAATAATAAATAAATAAAATCTTTAAAAAAAAAAAAAAAAAAAAAAAAAAAAAATAAAAAAAAAAAAAAAAAAAAAAAAAAAAAAAGGAACATCTGAACTCCAGGCCAGCCAGGGCAACAGATGGACACCCTGTCTCAAAACCAACCAGAATATTCCCAGCTTCTCCTAGTTCCCTCTGAACAGGATGGCCAGGATGGTCCAGACCACAGCTCTTCTCAACCTCTGACAAGAAATAGGCTGAATCTTCAACCTAGGACCAGGACACCCTAGTAGCCCAGGAATTTGGTAGTCTAGAGGGACCGCCCTGCTTTTGCCTTCACAGTATTGCAATTACAGCTATGTTCCAACACACCCACACCCAGCTTTGTGTGTGTGTGACTGACATGTAGGGAGGAGGCTGGGCACAGGCAAGCTTTAGAGTACCCAAGGGTATTGGATAGTCACCACAGCACCGCAGGGAGGCTCTACTTTTGACAAGATCTTATATAACCTAGGTTGGCTTGCTCAGAACTCAATCTTCTTGCTAAGGCTTCTGACTGCTAGGGTTTCAGACATGTGCCCCGACACACAGCACCACCCACACTGTCCACCACTCATTTCAGTGCTGTCCAGAACTTTCTGCAAGTATGACAAGTTCTTTCTGCACAATCCAGCATGGTAGCCATTACCCTCCTGTGACTGTTGGATACTTAAAGTGTGGCCAGGGACAGTGAGGAACTGAGGTTTTAACTTGGGATTTTAATAGTCTCCTTGAATGGAAGATTTATTTTCATGTTACACTCACTGTTTATTGCAAGATTGTGCTGCCTTCCATTTTGGCTGCTAGGAAGCTTCCCAGTATGGGGTCCTATGCTTACAAGAGTATATAACTTAATGTTGTGTATCTTGTAATATACCTTTATTTATATTTCCTTTATTCTCTCTCTCCCCTCTCTCTGAGACAGGGCTTGTCTGTATAGCTTTGTAGACCAAGCTAGCCTCAAACTCACAGAGATCTGCTAGCCTCTGCCTTCTGTGTGCTGGTATTAAAGGCGTGTGCCACCACTGCCCACCTTTATTTTCTTATATTTTTGGTTGTGAGCCTAGCCTTTAATGGCTGAGCCATCTCTCCAGACCTACTTTATTTTCTTTTAGCATTATTATTTTTTATTATCATCGTATGTATATGGGTGTTTTGCCTGCATGTGTGTCTTTGCAATACATGTATGTATGTATGTATGTATGTATGTATTATGTATATGCTGGTGTGCATAGAGGCCAGAAGAGGGTGTTGGATCGCCTAGAATTGGAGTTACAGATGGTTATGAGCCACCATGTGGGTGTTGGGTGTTGAACTTGGGTCCTCTGGAAGAGCAGTAAGTACTCTCTTAACCACTGAGCCATCTTGCCAGCCCTAGTTTCCTTTATTTTCACTTTTCCTCATTACTCTGCAAAACTTCTTACCTTGTCAGTGTGGTGAGTCCCCTCAAATCTTTTGTGATAAAGTAAGGAAGAGTGATTTAACACATAGGACTATACTTTCACTAGTTTCTGTTCCAAGCCTTGGTACCTGAGCTGTGTCTACTAGCAACTTACCCTGCTCAGCTGTGGTCTCTGCTCTTCCACGGAGAGCCAGCTGTTCGTTGTCCCGCACCACAGAGGCTGCCGTCAGCCGGTGGAGCGCCTGATCCCATGCAGCCTCTCTTACGGGGACTGATGCAGGCTGTGAGCCATCCCCAGGTTCCCAGAGCTCCTCCAGGCCTATACCCACCTCCCAGCACATTGGTTGTTCCCCACACAGAGCCCGGATCACCACATGACAGCGTGGAGCCTGGGGAGGCAGAGGCTCTGCTGGAGGGGCTGATTCCCCATTGGGTGGCACAGCCTTGAATAAGAAAGATGGTTCCATCAACATGTCCCAGTCCAAGGGCGCTGGGGAGAGCAGGTTTCCTGGGGAGAGATGTCAGGGATATATGCAACACGTGCACTGTGCTCCATGTCCCCACAGCTCTGGTATCAGAAACCCAGTGTCCCATCCAACCCTTACCTGAATCATCTAGGCCCTGACCCAGCTGTTGTCCTGGCTCAGAGCCTGCTCCATCTGGTATTGCATCTAGAGAGGGATGCCGGGGTCTACCAGGGACTGGGTTTGTCCGGCCTGAGGGAGATGAGAGACTTCGCCCAGCCAGAGCTGCTCTGTGCCGACGGCCCAGCACCTCAGCGCTCAAGGCTCCAACCTGTGTGTGAGATGCAGAAGATCACTAGTTGAGAAATTCAGTTTCTGGCCATCATAAACTTGGCAGCTGTCCATGATTCTGTCATCTAACTGTATTTCCCACTTGAGGTTGTTTCTTGATTCTTGATATATATCTTGTCTTTTAACCTACTTCTTCTCCTTGGCATACCTTACTTTCCTAACCCCCTCTAATAACCATTCTGATTCTGAGCACCCATAATACCATAACCCCATGTTCATTACTAGTTGTGACACCATGGATGTAGATTTACTAATATCTCTAGCTAGACTTAATAATAAACATTGCACAAAGCAGATGGTAAATATATGTTTTCTGGATACACAATAGATGAATGTGTGCTAGATCTCACCTTGAATGGAGCTGGTGGGGTTACAGGCAGGGGGCAAGAGCGGGAGCCTGCAGGTTCTACCCAGGCCAGGCTTCGGCAGCCCTGCTGAGAAGGAGGATCCAAGGGAAGGCTACCATTGGGGGAACCAGGGCCCTGGGAGCCTGGGGACTCGCTGCTGCAGGTGGAGCCTGGGCCTGGCTCAGGGCTGGCAGAGCAGTGGGTAAGCACATACTGCTCCCGGATGTATGAGGACTGGAAGATGCGACGCCATATAGCTGTGTCAGATGAGGGATTGGGTCCAGGGTCCGTGACTGGGTCTGTGAGAGCTTCGATGCCTGCTGGAAAGCAGGAGAATGGGTCCAGCCCTGACCCTTCTGCTTGTCCTGTCCAGCACAGCTATGAACATGCCAGGGTACTCACTCTGCTCTGAGTCTCCTACACCCCATGGGCTCGACAGCTCTGCTGACACAGTGCCTGTTCTCAGTGGCTCTGTGGTGTGTGTGGGCTCAGTGCCAGGGCTGGTGACAGATAATGCCTCCTCTGGAGATGGAAACACTGAGCCACCCAAGCTCTGCCAACCAGGCTCTTGGCCCTGGGGAAAATGATATTGAGGGAAAATTATACATACATACATACATACATACATACATACATACATACATACCTACATACATATATTGTTTTTCTGAGAAAAAGTCTCACTATGTAGCTCTGGCTGTCCTAAAACTCACTCTGTAGACAAGGCTGGCCTCAAACTCACAGAGATCCACCTGCCTCTGTCTCCTGAGTGTTGGGATTAAAGGTGTGCGCCACCACACCCAGTTCTAAGCATAATGTTAAGTCATAGCAAGTAAAAGCTAACAAGAAACAGGGGCCAGCAAAATGGCTCAGTGGATGAAGGCACCTCCTATACAAACCTGACCACTTAGGCTTGAGCCCTGGAACCAATATAAAGGTAGAAAGAAAAGAACTGAGTATACAAAGTTGTCTTCTGACCTCCACAAGAATGTTATTGCACACATATAGCCACACACACTCAAGTAAATAAAAGTGTAATAATGTTTTTAAAGCCTTGTATTTATTATTATTATGGCCGTGTTTGTATATGTGTACAAGCCACAGTTCACTTGTGGAGGTCAGAGAACAACTTGCAGGAGTTGGTTCTCTCCTATCATGTGGGTCCTGGGGATTGAACTCAAGTCATCAGGCTTGGCAGCAAGAGTCTTAACACATTGAGCCATTGTGTCTCCTAGAAATAGCAGGAGCGCTAGACTCATGATACCTCAATATGGCTGCCTAAAGAAGAACCGAACAATGACAATACTAATTGCCAATTTTAGCAAAGAAGGGAAAAATTATTCACCAGTTCCCACTCCCAGACAAAGAACTACAGGCAACTAACAACTGCTGAGAGAAAAGATCAGTCTCTCCCAGGGATGGGTCCCTAACTGGTTTTCTAAAACCAAGTGGTCAGCCCTGACATCATATGCACACAGCGACTTTAAACAAATTGAGCAGGTTGTATTTATATAGTTATGCATATGTAAGCATATAACAAAGAAAAAGGCCATC